CTAGGGTGGATTTTATATTGGGTTTTAAATATTCGGAAGACGCAACATTAAAATTCGGTTTAATTCGGTTTTAAGGGGGGGATTGTATATATGTTCTGGTTTTAAATATGTTGTGCGCCGCCCTGAGTCCCTGTCGGGAGAAGGGCGGCATATAAATTAAATTAAATAAATAAATAAATAAATAAATAAATAAATAAATAAATAAGCTTTCGTCGGCCAGCACTGCCGATATCATCAGAGCACAATACAAGATTACTGGGAGTCCTTTTTATATTGCCGGACGGCTCTGCGCCTTGCTTCTCGATCTAGTCATCGGTCCGTCCGTTTTCTCTACTTGGTTTGTTCTTAAAGGGCACGCGTCTCTTGCTCTGTTGGTATCTTCCGAGGTCACTATTTTCTTTTTCTTGGGCTCGATCACTTTCTTTCTGCTAGCATACACAAGAGGAGAGGGACGAGACACTCCACCAACGACTACAAAAAAGAGATCCATGAGCAAACGATGGAAAGCCACGCCACGAGACCCTGCACGCGCGCAAGAAGGGCAAAAGAACTAGCAAACGATGAAGGGGGACCGAAAAACCCAATGAACGATCGAGCAGTAAAGGACCTTAAGATGGGGGGGGGGACAACCAGAAGTGGATCAATATACCCACGGAGGTCCACGGAAGAAGGCAGCGCTCCTGAGTGGGAGAACACACGCAGGAGCATATCCATCAGAGACTACCCTGATAGACGCCCGGATCCACTCAATATACCCCCTCCCCGAGCACACATGCGCACAACCCCATCCAGGAAGATCAGATGGATCCCGGAATAGAACCAAAAAAGGGGATAAGTGTAAGCGAGCGAAAGCAACCGGCGTATGGTAGCAGAAGGAAAGTGATTGAGCCCAAGAAAAAGAAAATAGCGACCTCGGAAGATACCAACACAGCAAGAGACGCGTGCCCTTTAAGAACAAACCAAGTAGAGAAAACGGACGGACCGATGACTCGATCGAGAAGCCGGGCGCAGAGCTGTCCAGCAATATAAAAAGGACTCCCAGTAATCTTGTATTGTGCTCTGATGATGTCGGCAGTGCTGGCCGACGAAAGCTTAGCCTTAGCTTGTGTATTAAACAGTTTTTGTTTTAATACTGTCCTGGTGCTCGGACTATTTTATTTCTATTATCTATATAAATAAAAATGTAAATGTTCGTTTGTTCAAAATCTTAAATCTCCAAAAGTTCTTCACCGATTGCTTTGAAATTTTGACACAACGTTGCATTCGAATACGCGCGTGTTTTTATATACCTACTATTATATAGATGGCACACCTGTGACAGGTAAAAACATGCTTTTTTTTTGAAAAACAGCGCCATCTATTGGACGTAAACATATTACAAACGTGCGCTTTCTCTTTTCTTTCTTTTCCATTTAACCAGACTGAGCCACAGCAACGCGTGGCCGGGTACAGCTAGTATATATATATAAAGAAAAACAAGAAAGTCCAGTTGCCATGTGGAAAAGCACCTTTGTAAAGTTGCTGTGTGCTAAATTGCACGGCCCGCTGCTTTTTCCCCCCCTCTATTCACAAGAAACACCCCGGCTTCCCTCCACAGGTTGTAGGCAGCATGGATGCCCATCCGAATCGCTATTGTGCCACTGTGAGGGTCCAGCAGCACCGCCAAGAAATAATTCAAGACTTGGCTGCCATGGTTCGGGAGCTGCTGATCCAGTTTTACAAATCCACTCGATTCAAGCCGACGCGGATTATTTTCTATCGAGATGGCGTTTCCGAGGGGCAGTTTCAACAGGTTCCCGGTCTTTTTTCCCCTTTTCCTTGCGTTCTCTGTGTGTGGCTTTACATTGAGAAGGGAAATCTAGAGGAACGTTATTGACTTCTTAAATGGTCAGGTGCCTTCATTCTAAGAAAGGGATACCCAGTTTGCCAAGGTTGAGAATTCTGGGTTATATGTTGAATTTGAAGGCGAGGAACATTTTGGGGTACACGCATTTGCCTGTCCTGCCAGGTGTAGCTCCATCAAATGTACATAGTAATAAAACCTAACAATAACAGATAGTTTGCAACAGTGGCGAATACAGGCCGTCCTCCCCTTAACGACAATTCCTTTAGCGACCGTTCGAAGTTAATGGCACTGGAAAAAAAGGGACCGATGGCCATTTTTCAGACTTAACGACCGTCGCAGCGTCCCCATGTTCACGTGATCCAAAATTCAAAGAGGCTTGGCAACCGACTCATATTTAGGACGGTCGCAGTGTGTCCCGTGTGTGTGTGTGTGTGTGTGTGTGGTGATTCCCTTTTGTGACCTTCTGACAAGCAAAGTCAAGTGGGGAAGCCCAGAGTCACTTTACTTACTACCTTGTTAGTAACTTAACAACTGCAGTGATTCAGCTTAACAACCGTGGCAAGAAAAGTCGCAAAATGGGGCAAAACTCACTTAAAAAGGACTATCTGTAACTCTTTTAAAAAAAAAAAAGTTTTCTCCTTGTAAATGCAGGAGGATTTCTGGTGTGATTCTGACCCAGAACCTCCCTCGAAATGGTCGGATTCAGGGTTGTCTAAAACCAAGTCTCAACAATGACTGACTGCAGGGTTGTGATAATAGGTTGTGGTTGGCCCAACAGAGTAGCATGCCTGGACGCATATGCATTTTTATCATGGCAGTGT